TATGGAGATGTACAATTAATAGTTATATTTGCTGAGGATAAGAGAATTGTTTATCTATGTACTAAAGATTTAAAGATTATGTACATAAATCCGTAGAAAGCACGGGAATGCTGCTAGTTATTAGACATTTACTTATAATTAGATGATTTTGAATCCGTAGATATGTACCAAATGTCTGAATTGTTTGGCATTAAAAATTTACGGATGTGATCATGGACTCCTGTGGGGAGGTAAATATTCTATACGTCTTTGTTCAGGTACAAAACACGAGTCCCGACTAAATTTGAGCAAAGCACCGATGACTGATATTACGAACATTTATATCTATCATTTTTGTCCAATTCTACGAGAATATGTTACATATGAAATGCCAAAAATGCATTAGCTTGAAAAAACTGACCTGTGGAGTGAAAAGCGAAGGGGTGCCGTGGCCAATCTCCATCAAAGATTGCCAAGTCAAACTTTTTATCTTGGGGCAGTGGGCAATGGTCAACTCTTCCAATTCGGGACATTCCAGCGTATGATTCTTTCCCAAGAGGAAACCAGTCAAATTGGGCAAGCATTCCAGCGTCAAGTATTCCAAATTCGGGAATGTAATCTTCTCCACGGCGCTTCCCTGCCCTTCTCCGTCTGTGATCACTCCTTCCATCTGACCACACTCCTTTATTTCAATTCTCCATAGATGGGCAAGGCACCGAGCCATCGATGGAGTGAAAGCATGTCCCAAGTTGCTGCAATTATAAATCTTGAGAACATGTAGAGAATCGAAGCGCAACCATTCTTGAAGATCTTTGTTCCATAGTCGCCTCAACTTTGGTAGATTGACCAAGTTCAATTCCCGTAGCCGAGGCAGCACCCAAGTGCTTTCCATAGCCTCTAGCCCTTCCTGATTGAATATTTCTTCTAGTGACTTGCAATCGCGCACTTGCAAAAAGCGCAAATTGTCTAAAACGAGCATCAATTTGGATGGAATTGCCTTAATAAATGATGGACATTTATCCACCGTCAATGATTCTAATTGCCAAGATGACTTGATGGGATTAAGTTCGCTATGCCATTTTCCAATTAGATCGGGGAGCTCAGATAGCAGCATTTTCTTTACTCCAGCAAACATACCCTGTCAAAAAATTGCATCATTAAACGTAAACTTCTGGTTAGCAAAAATCGATTATTCTATTCATGGTCAAAACCATTCAATTGCACAGAATTTGGTCAACGATGCGTACCATTTCTTCAAACATATTTTGGATGGTGATGTTGAGGTCTTCGTTCCAAAACCACGCTGCTGCTGCATCTCTAGCTACTCGTACTCTCTTTAGCTTTGGCGCCTCTATTGGTCCTATAGAGAAGAAATTCATGTGGAAACATCCGGTCACAATGACATCTTCCAGGAGAGGGAACATCAAAGTGTATCCATTCTCACACTTTACGCGAGAGAAGCATGTCAAACTTTTCAAATATGTTAAGGATAAATCAGTTAACATCGGGAATGCCAGAGTTCCTAATGTTTCCATTCCCAACCCTTCTTCCTCCGTAATGATTGCCTCCATCTTCTTGCAATACCCTACCGTTATTTTCTTTAGTTGTGCGAGAGATTCAACCATGGATGGGGAAAACATAAACCCGAGGTTATCCAAGCGAGTGATTTCTAACGTCTCCAATCTCGGGAAGGCAACCTGCGGAATTCACTCACGGAATTGGTAATTTTGTTAAATCTCGAATCCATGAATTTCCAAGATGTAAATATAGATGAGTGTGAAGGGGAGAGGGGGATTATTAAGTTGCACAAAAGGAAAAAAAAAAGGAAGTAAAAAAAAATCTCCATACTAAATACTGTTTCTAGTTTCCAAGAGTATTTCATAGAATTACAGAAAGTTATCTATATAAAGTAATCACTAAAAAAAAGGATAAGGAATCTTTCTCTAGTCTTTTCTTGGGCAAATAACTTTGAATTAGCAGAGCTTATTTTGATTAGTGAACCAGTTTTATTCAATCTGAAGATTTTCTCCTTCAGAAATGGGTTAGCGAGCGGTGCATTACTTATCTCTCTCTCTCTGCATATAATAAAGCAAACTCAACAATACTTTCGACCTTAACTTTTGGCCCCAAAAGTTCAAATAATATGATTCAAGGCCACTGTCTAACGAGAACTACGGCTAAAGTTAAAAGCCCTAAAGACTAGGGCGATTAAGAAAAAGCGAAGCAGCAAGGGCTCTTTATGAAAATTTCCCGTTCTAGTTCCATTATCTTTGCCACACAACTCGGAAGAGGAACAGATGTACTCAAACACACTACGTCATGGGACCCACAACTTATAATCCAACTGACGGGGAAACTAAGACATTGCATGTATCCCTAATTACAATGGAAAGTTTTACTTTCTGTTTTTCTTTTTTTCTTTTCTTTCTTTTTTTTTTGTAAAGAGTAACTAGTCTTTTCCAAAAGCTCATTTTTATAACTCTAGAATATCCTTCATCTGTAAAGTTGCTCGCAATGTCCCCGTCTACCTCGCCATCACCCATCGCTCTCATCCATACAACAAGTTTTAATTTTTTTATGTTTCGTTCATTTGGACTATTGTCATCCCTAGCTATATTACGATGAAAAAAAAAAAAAAGCAAAGCAGCAAAGGCTCTTTGCAAAGTTTCCTCGATCTAGTTCCATTATCTTTGAAAGCGAGCTCTCTTCATGGAAGCTCAAAGCATGGGAAGAAGATAAAGTCGTACTCAGACTCACTGGCATGTGGGACCCGCTACTTAAATTTCCACGGCCCTTTATTGGCAGGGGAAAACTAACATATTGCAAGAGTCTTGGGCCCCACCATCAACTTCAATGATAATCGCGCCATTATAAAAAGGGCAATCTTGTCTAGTCTCGACTGCATCTTAGCATGATGCTTCTGACTGTGGGTTGAAATTTTGCTAAAGGCTCCAAGCATTCGCCTGAAAATTGTTTCATTTTAACCTTTCATAGAATTGGTGATTCTGTTAAATTACGAATTCATGAACTTTCAAGATGCAAATATTGATGAGTGCCAAGATGTAAATTATGAATTCACGGAATTGGTGTTTTTGTCTTAAGTTGCATTAAAGGAAATAAAAAGAATAAAATAGGAAAAGTTAGCAAAAAAAATCTCCATACTTACGTCGATGACTCTAGGACGAGAAGGCTATTGGTATTACTAGAGACAAAATAAAAAGTAGGAATTCTGACTTGATTCTGTTGACAATGGGCAAAATGGTAATTTGGATATGCTCAAATAACAATTTTATAATCACCACAGTAGTCTCTCATTAATCCCGAACGTAAATAAAATCTCTTCCTCTCTTCAATTTAGTTCATTTCCTAAAATAATCAAATCACACTTTGTGCTTTTCTTGCCAGCCCAAGAATCAAATAGCTAGTAAATTGATGAAGAAAAGTGCAGCTAAGAGAAAGAAGATGATGGAGAGATTGAGATTAAAGAGAGGCGACCCAATCAACCATCAAATGGCCCACTACAGAAGGAGGTGTGATTTTATCTACTGCCGAGGGCCTCAAATCAATATTATATCACTCTAAAGCAATTAAAAAGTTGGGCTAAGAGAAAGCACTTAAAAAGGGAATTGCCTGGGTCAAATGAGCAATTCTTATTTACATCATTCCACACTTTGAAAGAATTGAATATACTTAAATTGATGAAATTTTCTTTTTAAGATTCGTTAATTTTTTGTAACAGTGCCGGATGATCCAATTGTTTAATTTAAAAACCATAAATCATACATTTACTCGAGCCAAATTGTCGAAGATAGTCCTCAATATCTCACTAAATAGTCAAGCAATTCGTGTAAAAACTAAAAAGGGTGATTTCTAAAGCCCTGGACGCAAGAGATCTTGCTCAGTTTGGCGATGGAGAGGGCTCGGATTCCTTTTGATGGTGCAATTAAGAGAGAGTAAAGCTTCCTTCGATTAAGAAAAAAAAGTGAGATCTTGTAAGTGCGAATTAAGTCGAGTGCGCGTCTTAAAGGCCCTTCATCTCCAGCCTCTTGAACCTTACAGCTCACTTTCCACTCTATTGGATTTTCAATTGCTTTCAATCTACATGCGTGCAATGTCTAAGCCGTACATGCCAGGTCGCTGAGAGTTTTAAGTTTCTTGTGAATATCGGAAAGCCTTCTAGAAATCCTGTTCCGCAGCTATATTACCCGTTCATGCTTCGTGCAGGTACTGTAAGAGAAATATTTCTAAAGTTATCTACAGTAATCACTAGAAAAAAGATACGAAATATTTCTTCAGTCTTTTCTTGGGCAAATAACTTTGAATTGTAGAGGTTAATTTGATTAGTGAACCAATTTTATTCAATCTGAAGATTTTCTCCTTCAGAAATGGGCTAGCAAGTGATGCATTACTTATCTCTCTCTGTATATAATAAAGCAAACCCAACACTACTTTTCAACCTTAACTTTTGACCCCAAAAGCTCAAATAATATGCAAGGCCAGTGTCCAATGAGAACTACAGGGAAAGTTAAAAGCCCCAAAGACTAGGAGGAGGAATAGACGTAGTCAAACAAACAAGGTCGTGGGACCCACAGCTTATATAGTCCAAGATCCCTAGAATAACGGGGAAACTAAACATTGCATCCGTCTTGGGCCCCACCATGAACTTAAGTGACAATCCCCACATATGAAGGGCAATCTTGTATGGTCAACGAAATAGCTGCGGCAATTTTTGTTGGACAAAATAGCCGTGCCCTATCCTTAAGTGCCCAATCTCTGTTACGGCTTTGTGCAGCTATCCTGACAAATTTTCAACCATCTTTATGGAAACTATTTCTGAAGAAATTAAAAGTAAGAAATTGCGAACTCATACATGTCAGCAACTCTAAAACACTTATGCTTGCATGCCACTCATTTTCTTCTAAAAATTTTTAACCAAACTATACTGTATAATTAATTTGGTCCGTTTTTATTTTGGCTATGTTTTGTCTCCGTTGTATTTAATAATTTGACATTTCACGTACCTCTCGATTGAAGAGTACAGTGGAGCATGATTGGACGCGATCCTGACTCCGAGCTTCTCGTGAATCTATCATCAGTTTGTCATTGGATGAAAAGAATGTCACCATTTGTATTGTAGGGGTGATTTCTATCTACACAAAAATTTTCACTGATAAAAACAAAAAATCAATCTTACACTTTCCGCGAGAGAAGCACGTCAGACTCTCCAACCATTCTAAGCTTAAATCGGTTAACATCGGGAATAACAAAGTTTCTGATGTTTCCATTCCCAACCCTTCTTCCTCCGTGATGATCGCCTCCATCTTCTTGCAGGACTGTACACTTAGTTTTTTTAGTTGTTCGAGAGATTTAACCATGGATGGGAAAAACATAAACCCGAGATTATCCAATTGAGTGATTTCTAATGTCTCCAATCTCGGAAAGGCAACCTGCGGAATTCGCCCACGGAATCGGTGATTTGGTTAAATCTCGAATCCACGAACTTTCGAGATGTAAATATAGATGAGTGCGAAGGGGAGAGGGGGATTATTAAGTTGCACAAAAGGAAAAAAAAAGGACTTAGAAAATCTCCATACTAATACCATTTCTAATTTCCTACAATATTTTTTATAGAACAACAGAAAGTTATCTAAATTAATCACTAAAACAAAGATAAGAAATCTTTCTCCAGTCTTTTGTTGGGCAAATAACTTTGAATTGCAAAGCTTAATCTAATTAGTGAGCCAGCCAATTTGAAGATTTCTCCTTCAAAAATGCGTTAGCAAGTGGTGCATTACTTATCTCTCTCTATATATAATAAAGCAAACCCAATAATAGTTTCAACCTTAACTTTTTGGGCCAAAGACTGGGAAGAGGAACAGACGTACTCAGACTCACTACCTCGTGGGACCCACAACTTATGGTCCCTTGACTGATGGGGAAACTAAGATATTGCATGCGTCTTGGGCCCCACCATAAACTTTAGTGACAACCGCGTCATTATAGGAGGGCAATTTTGTCAGGTCAACGAAATAGCTGCGGCAATTTTTGCTGGACAAAATAGCCGTGCGTTTTCCATGACTGGCCAATTTTGGTTCATGCTTCGTGTAGGAACCATAAGAGACGTTCAATCATCTTTGTGCAAACTATTTCTAGAGAAATTAAAAGTAAGAAATTGCAACTCCTGCATGTCGGCAACTCTGAACACTAATGCCTTGTACCCCGCTCATTTTCTTTTAAAGTTTTTTAAACAAAGTATACTCTCTAAGCAATTTGGTTAGTTTTTATTTATTTATTTTGGCTATGCTTTATCTCTGTTATATTTAATATTTTGACATTTTACGTACCTCTTGATTGAAGAGTATAGCGGAGCGTGATTGGACGTGGTCTGGACTCTGAGCTTCTCGTGAACCTGTCATTAGTATGTCATTGGATGAAAAAAAAGTCATCATTTGTATTGTAGGGATGATTTCTATCTACACGAAGATCTTCGCCAATGAAAACAAAAAAATCAATCTTACACTTTTCGCGAGAGAAGCACGTTAGACTTTTCAACCATTCTAAGCACAAATCGGTTAACATCGGGAATGCCAAAGTTTCTAATATTTCCATTCCAAACCCTTCTTCCTCTGTGATGATCGCCTCCATATTATCACAATGTCGCACCGTTAGATCTCTCAATTGTGTGAGAGTTTTAATCATGGATGGGAAAAACATAAACCTGAGGTTGTCACAGAGATCCACCTTTAACTTCTTTAAATAATGGAAACTCACTATTCCACAAGGACTCTTGTTCCATATGCGCCTCAAGCTCCGCATTTTATTTAATTCCAAGGTGGTTAACTCAGAGACAGTCTCAACATTTCCACTACCACTTGCTCCGTCAAGGTCAAAAATATCTTGCACCGAGATGCAATCTTCGACAGTTAAAGTGTGCAACTTATGTAGTTTTACCAGCGACCTGGAGCTGACAACCTTCAAAAGAGATTCGCACCGCACCACTTTGAGAGATTGGAGATTGCTCAGCTCCAATGGAGATTCATCGCTCCATATCTCTTTCAGATTGGGAAGTCCTTCAATTGTCAAGGACTCCAAGGATGGGATTGAAACCTGACAGACAAAACCATTAGCTACAGAATTTACAATTACAAAGGACGGGTAGGAAATTTACATGCTATAGTGGGTTATGATAAACAAAAGCTTGTTTACAATACAAAAAGGGAATTTTACGACCCCAAAAGGCAACTAGTGGACTTTACCATTTATTTACAATGTAACAAGGGATGTACCGATTAGATTTTATTTGTAGTTACCTAACAATGAGGGAAATTATAGTCACCAAGAATTAGCACTCATTCAGTTTACTCATGACAATGAAATTAGTTACCCATAAATCAAAAAGTACTTTCAAGCTAAATCACTTCCTGTAAGGTAAGCTCATATAACCTATCCCCAATTAATCGTCCTTCTTGTTGTAATTTCCTTAAGGGTGAGTCGAAATCCGCAGCCTACATATCAACCATAAAATTTTCGGTGAAAAGACGCAATTGTCCCTAAGAACGGGGGAAAGTTTTACTTTCTGTTTTTCTTTTTCTTTTTTTTTGTAAAGAGTAATTAGTCTTTTCCAAAAGCTCATTGTTATAACTCTAGAATATCCTTCATCTGCAAAGTTGCTCGCAATGTCCCCATCTACCGCGACATCACCCATCGCTCCCATACATACAACAAGTTTTAATTTTTTTTTTTGTTTCGTTCATTTGGACTATTGTCATCCCCAGCTATATTATGATGAAAAAAAATAAAAAGAGCAAAGCAGCAAAGGCTCTTTGCAAAGTTTCCTCGATCTAGTTCCATTATCTCTGAAAGCGAGCTCTCTTCATGGAAGCTCAAAGCATGGGAAGAAGATAAGTCGTTCTCAGACTCACTGGCATGTGGGACCCACTGCTTAAATTTCCACGGCTCTTTATTGGCAGGGGAAACTAACATATTGCAAGAGTCTTGGGCCCCACCATCAACTCCAATGATAATCGTGCCATTATAAAAAGGGCAATCTTATCTAGTCTCGACTGCATATTGGCATGATGCTTCTAACTGTGGATTGAGATTTTGCTAAGGGCTCCAAGCATTCGCCGGAAAAATTGTTTCATTTTAACCTTTCATAGAATTGGTGATTCTATTAAATTACGAATTCATGAACTTTCAAGATGCAAATATTGATGAGTGCCAAGATGTAAATTATGAATTTACGGAATTGGTGTTTTTTTCTTAAGTTGCATTAAAGGAAATAAAAAGAATAAAATAGGAAAAGTTAGTAAAAAAAATCTCCATACTTATGTCGATGACTCTAGGACGAGAAGGCTATTGGTATTACTAGAGACAAAATAAAAAGTAGGAATTCTGACTTGATTATGTTGACAATGGGCAAAATGGTAATTTGGATATGCTCAAATAACAATTTTATAATCACCACATTAGTCTCTCATTAATCCCAAACGTAAATAAAATCTCTTCCTCTCTTCAATTTAGTTCATTTCCTAAAATAATCAAATCACACTTTGTGCTTTTTTTCCCAGCCCAAGAATCAAATAGCTAGTAAATTGATGAAGAAAAGTGCAGCTAAGAGAAAGAAGATGATGGAGAGATTGAGATTAAAGAGAGGCGACCCAATCAACCATCAAATGGCCCACTACAGAAGGAGGTGTGATTTTATCTACTGCCGAGGGCCTCAAATCAATATTATATCACTCTAAAGCAATTAAAAAGTTGGGCTAAGAGAAAGCACTTGAAAAGGGGATTGCCTGGGTCAAATGAACAATTCTTATTTACATCATTCCACACTTGAAAGAATTGAGCATACTTAAATTGATGAAATTTTCTTTCTAAGATTCATTAATTTTTCGTAAGAGTGCCGGATGATCCAATATTGTTTAATTTAAAAACCATAAATCATACATTTACTCGAGCCAAATTGTCGAAGATAGTCCTCAATATCTCATTAAATAGTCAAGCAATTCATGTAAAAACTATAAAGGGTGATTTCCGAAGCCCTGGACCCTAGAGATGTCGCTCAGTTTGGCGATGGAGAGGGCTCAGATTCCTTTTGCTGGTGCAATTAAGAGAGAGTAAAGCTCCCTTCGATCAAGAAAAAAAAGTGAGATCTTGTGAGTGCGAATTAAGTCAAGTGCACGTCTCAAAGGCCCTTCATCTCCAGCCTCTTGAACCTTAGTGCTCACTTTCCTCTCAATTGTTTTTTCATTTTCTTTCAATCTTCATGCGTGCAATGTCTTGAGCCGTACATGTGAGGTTGCTGAGAGTTTTAAGTTTCTTGTGAGAATCGGAAAGCTTTTAGAAATCCTGTTCCGCATTTGAATTACCCGTTCAAGCTTTGTACAGGTACCATAAGAGATGTTTGGCCATCTTTTATGGAAACTACTTCCAGAGAAATTAAAAGTAAAAAATTGCAATTCGTGCATGTAGGCAACTGTGAACACTTATTTTCTTTTAAGATATTTTATCCAAAGTATACTTCGTAAGTGATTTAGTTTTTATTTTGGCTATGTTTAATATTTTGACGTAATGTTAACCGCGTACCTCTCGATTGAAGAGTGTAGTGGAGGGTGATTTGATGCGGTTCTGACTCTGAGCTTCTCGGTAACCTGTCATCGATTTTTCATTGGATGAAAAAAATGTCACCATTTGTATTGTAGGGATGAATCTGTCTACAATAAGAACTTAATTGATGAAAACAACAAATAATCTCACACTTTACGCGAGAGAAGCACGTCAAACTTTCCAAATATGTTAAGGATAGATCAGTTAACATCGGGAATGCCAGAGTTCCTAATGTTTCCATTCCCAACCCTTCTTCCTCCGTAATGATTGCCTCCATCTTCTTGCAATACCCTATTGTTATTTTTTTTAGTTGTGCAAGAGATTCAACCATGGATGGGGAAAACATAAACCCAAGGTTATCCAAGCGAGTGATTTCTAATGTCTCCAATCTCGGCAAGGCAACCTGCTCACGGAATTGGTAATTCTGTTAAATCTCGAATCCATGAACTTCCAAGATGTAAATATAGATGAGTGAGAAGAAGAGATGGCGATTATTAAGTTGCGCAAAAGGTAAAAAAAGGAGTAAAAAAATCTCCATATTAAATACCGTTTCTAATTTCCTAGAGTATTTCATAGAATTACAGGAAGTTATCCATAAGTAAACACTAAAAAAAAGATACGAAATATTTCTCCAGTCTTTTCTTGGGCAAATAACTTTGAATTGTAGAGGTTAATTTGATTAGTGAACCAATTTTATTCAATCTGAAGATTTTCTCCTTCAGAAATGGGCTAGCAAGTGGTACATTACTTATCTCTCTCTGTATATGATAAAGCAAACCCAACAATACTTTTCAACCTTAACTTTTGACGCCCAAAAGTTCAAACAATATGCAAGGCCTCTGTCTAAGGAGAACCAAGGCGAAAGTTTAAAAAGCCCCAAAGACTGGGAAGAGGAACAGACATACTCAGACTCACTACCTCGTGGGATCCACAACTTATGGTCCACGATCCCTTGACTGACGGGAGGAAACTGTGATATTGCATGCGTCTTGGGCCCCACCATGAACTTTAGTGACAACCGCGTCATTATAGAAGGGCGAGTCTAAATCCGCAGACCATAACATTTTAGGTAAAAAGACCCAATTGTCCCTGATTACAATGGAAAGGTTTATTTTTTGTTTTTTATATATATATATTTTTTTATAAAGAGTCGATAGCTTTTTCCAAAATTTCATTGCTACAACTCTTAAGAAAATCCTTCATCTGCAAAGTTGATCAACCATCTACCTCGCCATCACCCATCGCTACCATCGATACAACAAGTTTTAACTTTTTTGTATTTCATTCATTGGACTATTGTCATCTCCAACAAGATTACGACAAAAAAAAAAAAAAGAAAGTAAAGCTGCAAAGGCGCTTTGCAAAATTTCCCCAATCTAGTTCTATTATCTTCGGAAGCGAGCCACAACTGGGAAGAAGAAAGTCATACTTAGACACATTAACTTATGGGACCCACAACTTATATGTCGACGACCCTTTATTGATTGATGGAGAACCTACCATATTGCAGGAGTCTTGAGATTCACCGTCAACTTCAGTGATAATCACGACATAGAAAAGGATAATCTTGTCTAGTCAACGAAATAGCCGTGGCAATTTTTGCTGGACAAAATAGTCGTGCGCTTTCCTTAACTGCGCAATTGTTTGCCTATAGTTTACAAACTTCTCTTTAATGTTAGTAAATCACTCTCAATAACCAATTTAACAGGATATCAAACACAACTTTGTGGATTTTGTGTTTGTGACGCCAAATGTACTTACAAATATATCTATACATACTATATGGGTGCACGAACATGCACACAACTATGTACTGTTATAATTATGAGGTATATGCAATGACTAAGTGCTTCTTTAAGCATGATACACAAAAACGTGCATCAATTAGATTAGCATAGTTGATTTTATTTCAAAACCCGATCGTCCTTCCCATTTTTGGCACTGGTTTTTAAGAGTCACCTATATTGCACATTTTGGGGATAATAACTAAGTTTCATAACTAAATTCAATGGAATCCATTTTAAAAGATTAGAAATAACTTTACTTATGATATTACTTTAATGCCAAAAAATTCCCTTCAATTTTGCTTTATGAAGCCCTATCAATATAGATATACTTGCAGAATGTAAATTTAAAGTAGCTTGGAACCTATCACAAACTAAATTTACAAGGATTTCATACAATTAGTTGGATTTCTACTCAATTAGCAGAAACAGGAGATTGCTTCTTTTAATTACAGGGAAGGCATGAATGGACCATGCAATGAGGAAGAAAATAAATAGAAAATAATAAATTGAATAAGCAACATAATCTGTGTTACATCCAATTAGCAAAGGAAATAAATAATTAATACTCTTTTAATAGAAAGTTACTTGTTGTCCATTGAAGAATGCAATTTGAGTGGCAACTTGGTCGTCTGATGTACTACCCGAAGGAGCCGACCCAGTCGTGAAAAAATTCTTGATGTTTGGCAAGTCAGGCAATTTCAATACACTGTTACTCCTAAACTTTTACTTATTACATAAATTCCTTAAACTTTGATTTTATTGTGGATGTCAACCCTTTGTGCATTTTACCATTGGTATGTGCTTTACATGTGATTTTTAACCAGTAAAGTTGCAATTCTTCTGTATTTGTATTAGTCAAATCACGCTTTGGCCTCCCAATGCGCTTAATTAGTTAAAGTCCAAAATATATACAGAAAAATAAGGTAAAAGAAAAGTAACAATCTTAAAAAAATTAAGACAAAAATTTATAATAATATGGTTGACTTCATGAAGAGCTAAAATTTTAGTAGGCTTTCAAATATATCCCAAGCATTTAAAACTATCATAGAAATGTCAAAATATTGTATTTCATTTTGCATATGGGCCTCCACAATTAGCTATTTAAAAGGACCATGGATGATAAAACCACATAGCTATATATGCTCTATCGTAATCTTCAACAACAAGTACCATAATTTATCTAAACGGAAAAGAAAATTTAAAAAAAGAAGAGTTAAGAAAAAACTAAATAATTAAATGAGGGCTTAAGTAACTAGAAAACGGGAAATCACAAAAAAAATCAAATTGGGCTTTTATTCAATTAAGAAGAAAATAATTTACATAACATGGATAAATCAAACCACAAGTTACCAAGGCGAGCAACACCCACTTTGCCAGGGCCGTGGGGTATTTTCAATAAAAAAATGCGAAACAAGATAAACAGCTCTATTAAAGCAAACTAATTAAACTCGACAAAAAAATAGAAAATAAATGAAGGATTGCTATTTTTTTGTCATCATACTATTCTTTTCCTAGAATTGAAAAGATGTAGATCTAAAAAATAGTATGACGACAAGAAATAATAATTAAATGATGATGATGATAGTTGTAGTAGTAGTTATTATGTTAATAAGTACTCCTAGGGCACCGCGTAACTGAATAATTCAGTTTTCAAGGCACAAATTTTGCATAACATGAAGACGATTAATTGATTGGAAACTGTAAATTTTTCTTAATTAGTTTCTCAACAAGTGCCTCAAGCTGGGGGCGAAAGAGTAATTTCCTTTTGAACCCAGCGAAAGAGTCATCTAAAAAATAGAGAAGATTACAATTCTACCCTTGAAAAATCACATAATGGGCACTCGCAAACGGAAAAATTGACGAAGGGTTGATGGCTCAAGGGATTTTGGGTGAAGGTTGAAAGTCCAAGAGTAAATGTGTACCGCTCTAAAACTTCCATGGGGGATTTCGTGTAATATTTCCTAAAAGTTGCTCACTAATGCCTACAACCACGAGATATTAAACATAAATTGGGGGCGCTTGTGATGCCAAAAGTGTGCACAAATATACCTATATGTATTGTACGCGTGCATGAACATGCACAAAATTCTGCACTCTTATAATTATGGGGCCTATAAAATGATTAAGTGCTTATTTAAACACGACGCATGAAAGACGCGCATCAATTAGGTTGATATAGTTGCTTTTATCTATAGACCCGGTCCTCCTTCCCATTCTTCATATTGGTTTTTATGAGTCACCTATAGTATATACTTTGATGGATAATAACAAAGTTCAATGACTAAATTCAATGGAATCCATTTCACAAGATTCAAAATTACTTTATTACGGAATTACTTTAATGCCAAAATTCCCTTTAAAGTTGCTTTATCGAACCCTATTAATATAAAATATGCTTTCAGCATGTAAGTTGAAAATAACTCAGAACCTATCACAATCTAAATTTGCATGGATTTCATACAATTAGTTGGATAATAACGGAAGATTGCTTCACATGATCGCAGAGAAGGCATCATCGGATAAGGTACTTAGGAAGAAAATGAACCGAAAATAAAGAAATGATTAAGCATTATAATCCATGTCACATCTAATTAGCAAAAGAAGGAAAGATAATTATAATTTCCTTTGATAGAAAGTTACCTGTTGCCTATTGAAGAACGCAACTTGAGTGCCAACTTGGTCGTCCGATGTACTGCTCGAAGGAGCTGTCCGGACAGCAACAAAGTTCTTGATACTTGGCAAGTCACGCAATTTCAATACGTGCAAGTTATGCAACTCAACTTGACCACAATCATCATCTTTTACAATCCCCTTCATTACCTTGCATCCGATGACTTCGATCTCTTTTAGCTGTGGAAGTTCTCTTAGTAATGAAAGGGGAAACAGATGTTTCATCTTGTCACATCTATCAACTCGTAGGACTTTTAATGCACTGAAGGACTTGGAGGAGATATCATTGTGGCATAACTTCTCCAAGTTGATCAAATTCCCTAGAAATAAAAACTCCAATGTATTAAAAGTGGGAAGGGAAGACCGTTTGAGGATGTAACGGATGGAAGGACTTTCCTGAACATGTAAACGCTTTAATTGTGGAAAACCTTCTAGGGATAACTGGCAAATGCTTTGCTCTATTCCGCTCAACCCATCCAACCACAAATCGTCAATTATGTGTAAAGTAGTTCGTATGCATCCTTTTTGAAGAATATTACTTGTTGGATTCAACTTGAGCTCCAATGTCCTTGATCGTTCGTACTTGTTTAACCAGCGCCAGTCATTGAAGTCATAAAGATGACCGATTTTGAGTTTGTACTTGGTCAATTTCTCGATATTTAGATCCCCTGGGAGCACGCTCTGGTCGGGAATGGAAACATGCAAAGTGCAAAGATTCTTCATGTGATTCAACTCAATCAGACTGGCATTAGTTCGTGGAGTTTGATCCACGGCATTCCATCGATCAAAGCTACCCTCCATGTACAACTCCTCCAATTTGATCAAGCTTCCAAGCACACCTGGTTCAATTATCTGAAGATTGGAACAATAATTCAAGTCTAACAACCTCAGCTCTACTAATTGCCCAATTTCTTTCGGCAATCGCTGAATATTGGAGTTCACAAGGCTGAGAATTCGTAGCCCTTTTAGCTCCCCAAGAATGGCTGCATCCTCTAATAAACAACTATGAAGACACAAAGTTTGTAAGTTCTTTTGGAACTGAAACAGCGATGGCAAAGGAGCGAGATGTATCCCAACAAGATTTAAGACCATGAGTTTCCTCATTGAGTAAAATAATGAATCTGGGATCTCAAGAGATTCATTGTTTGTGAACAACAAAAGGATCTGCAATTCAGGGCAATCTAATTCTTGGAGAAAATCCTCCACGTCAACATAGGGAAAGCATATCGCCTTACAACTTTTGAGCTGCAACTTTGTTACCGACTTATCATTATCTTTCAACACGAGAAGCGGATGATCACTTGAAGCGACCGAGGCAACAAACTCACGAACCAAGTCATGTATCTTGAAACCATAAGCGCCTCCATCCTCTAACAAGAGGGAGGAGGCTTGAAGAGCACGAATCCCTGATCTCAAACTATCTCTAGCGTCTTCCATGTTGTTATCTTCTCGAAATAACCCCCAACCCACACCGAACCTCACCAAGTTTTCAAGAGAGGGCTGAGAGATGCCATAAGCAACACAGAGTGCTAACAATGACCTATCTGCGTCTTTTAAATGATCATAACGCAACTGCAACATGTTATTTATCACCTCACCGAGTCCTTCGTTTTTAGACAACTTGATTTGTTTCAAAACATTCTTCCATTCGGATAAACCAGCGTGTTTATAATGTTTTGCCAAATTGACAATTAGAAAAGGCAAACCTGCACATTTGTGGAGTGCTTCATCCACCAAGGATTTGAACGTGACATCGTGAACTTTGTCTCCCACCGTCCTCTCAAACAATCTTTTTGCCTCTTCCTCCTTCAGCGCATCAAGATGGAAGTCCTTGTCGCAGCCCATTTCCCTTCGCAAAACATCTTGAAATCTTGACGTCAACAACAACTTGCATCCTATGACTTTGTTGTCATATCTGCAAGGAATGCCGACTGATTTTAAGTCGAGCCCCTTCCACAGGTTGTCCAGTATTATGAGGACCTTCTTTTTGCTCCTCTCCTCTTCATCCAACCTCCTGTGTAGAAGTTCCGCTCGCCCGCTGATGGACTCTTTGTCCTTAATCTCACTATGGCCCAACGCATCGGCAATCTCTCCTTGAATCATCTTGATGTCTGGATTTTCCGACACGTCGGCCTTAGCGACCCAATCAAACGACTTCTCTTTGCTTATAATCCTTTTGACTTCCACCAAAAGGGTGGACTTGCCGACCCCACCCATCCCGTAAACCCCGACTACGCTATTGCTGTTATCGGCAAGAGCGTCCATGATGTCCTGTATGATTTGAGCTCTGGATTCGAAGATGCCATCATCCCTAAGCTTAATCGACATTGAGGCAGAAAAAATGGAAGCCATCGCGGTGGTCGACTGGACGACTTCTTTGCCTTCTTGGCCAGGTTCGGAGCAGTGACATTTCCTGGAGCAGAATCGCTGAAGGAGATGTCGTTCAATTCCTTGAATCCGCTGCATTCATGAGCGAGTTGCTTAATGACCTTGATCTTGCCCTCGGCCTTCGTGCTGAACTGATAGCGACATTTGGGGTCGGGAAGAGTCCCATAGCAGCAAGTCTTGGTCGCCTTTTCGAAGACGTCCAACAGCTCTCGCGCCTCCTCCAAGGCCTCGTCAGCATTTTGCTGCCACGTCGTGAAGACATCGTGGAAGTTCCGAACATTGTTTCTGGCCCGTTCCACAAGAACTTTGACCCTCCGATCCTCGTTCTCCAGAGTCCGGACTTCCTCCCGAAGACCGTCGGCGAAGCTCTTGGAGGAGATCACGTATCCGAACCCACGCTCGATGGGAACAAGTACACATCTCTTGAAGACATCCCACGCAATAGCAACGACAGAATCTGCCGACATTTTTCTTTGATTTTTTTTTATCCCGAAAAAGAAGGAGCGAGAAAAAAGAGAGAAAAAGAGGGAGAATGATGAAAAGGAGGAGCAGATGCTGAAGAAGAAGAGGAGGAGGAGGAGGAGGAAGAAGAATGGTTGAGCCGAGGAGAAGAAAGAGCGAAACAGACGAGAGACGAACAAGGCCAAGAGATTTGAGTGCACAAAAAAAGGATGAAGTCGGAGGGGAGTGACGAATAGCACAATCAATGCAGAACGAAAGAGATGACTATCGGCTCTTAAAGTAAACAACAACGGTTCGACTTAAACCATCGCCCTCGGAATATCTAGAATATAATATAATAAAAGGTAATGGTTAAAGAGACAAGGACTGGCCACACCCACGTGACATGGAGCTCCAACACTTACCACCACATTGTACTGTTTTGACAAAGAGAACACGTGACATGTAACTTTGAACGGTCTGCCATTAACTCAATTTTTAATGTGGACCACAATACCAAGGCAGAAAAGCACAAGTGGACCCTTGGAACTCTCAGAGTACTCGATAAAAAACATGAAGAGGCATCTTTATTCTTTCTCATAATATTAACATTTTTCTTCGATATCAGCATGTGCTCGCTTGCGTGATTTTGAATTTGATTTTGAGATGTATATAACACCTACGACGACTAATTGTAATACCTGGTTGATCAAACATGAAAGCGTTTAGCAATAGAAATTCTGATTGGTGCTAGTAGCATTACCATAACTTCAGACAAACTAAGGTCTAGATTGTTTCAAATATATACATACAACTCGTGCTAAATTGAGGCTAATTTCTTAAAAAAAAAAACCCAACTTAAATTTCTTAAAAATCTCAATTTTGCTCCGAATTTTTTTATCTAAAAATCCCCAACTTTCATTCTAATCCCGAATTTGCTCTTGTGTCCAAAAATCCCTATTGATTTCTTCAAAATTATCAACATCAAAAGACTAATATTGTTCTATATGAAAGTGAGGGTGTTGATGAATACGCAAGTTCTGATAATGACCTCTAATTGGCCCTAATATTCATAATTTTGAAGAAACTAGTGACGATTTTTGGACGCTTGAGCAGATTTGGGATTAGAGTAAAAGTTGGAGTTTTTTTAAAATAAAAAAAATTCAAGGTAGAATTGGGACTAAATTTAAAGTTGGGGTTTTTTGTTATGAAATTAGGTCCAATAAATTGTGTTTTCTCATGCTACTAAATGTCATATATCAGAACACTTGAATAAGACGAAATATGATTTAATATGGATGGTTCTACAGATGTTACTCTCGACATTATTGGTGTGCAAATTCTCCGAGCCCAACAGTTGCCCCTTTAGAGCATGCATACTACCAAAAAAGTGACTCCTTGTAGGGACTTTTTAGGAACATCCTCCACAATTATGTCACTTGTGTTTTTAGTGATAGGGAAGATGGACGGATTGACAATTCTTTTTGACTAAAATGCAATACAATAATATTCTCTACCTGAGAAATTGCTTTTCTAAAGTATGTTAAGATCTTTTACTAGGCAAGTTACTTGCTTGGATTGATCGAATCTCACAGTTTGATTATTTTGATCTCGTGTGAAAACCATAATGTTCAAAATTTGTGGCTGGCCTAAGTAAATTAAAGGCTATTGCATCATCATTATATTTAAGTGTTAGACCGGTTGAGTCATCTGAATAATTTAATCTAACCGATTCTTGGGACGTTGTGGACTGCTCAGGCTTCTAGACCGAGAAGATAGCAGAATAGTACGCACTTAGTGTTTAGGATTCGAACAAGCAACTCCAATTCATGAGCTATCCCCTATGCCCCTATCAATTGCGCAAATTATGGAGTTAAATAAGCATAATTTTGTTTTATAGGGAGTAAGTGTATTTTTCATACAGTGTCATTACTTAAGAAATGACAACGTTAACATAAAATTATCACATTATTAATATTCAATAATTGCAAGATAGAGATGCTAAGTAATATAACGTTATAATTATAGTATCATATGCTAGATATTAATAGTATTGGCCTCAAATCTACTTTGAATATTAAGCTGTCTAAATCTCTCTCTCTCTCTCTCTCTCTCTCTCTCTCTCTCTCTCTCTCTCTCTCTCTCTCTCTCTCTCTCTCTCTCTCTCTCTCTCTCTCTCTCTCTCTCTCTCTCTCTCTCTCTCTCTCTCTCTTAGTTCCACATGACAAACTTACCTATCAAAATTGTTAGGTTGGATATGTCAATCTACCCCTACATCCCTATATGCATTACGAGAGTTTGAAAATTCTGACTAACAAAAACAAATTAAAGTAATGAGGGACACTCTCCTTGTAATTAGATAGAGTAGAAGCTTTATCTAGTTAATAAGGAATTAGCTGATATAAGAATATCATCTTATATGAGTAATCTATCTAGTTAGTAGTGCATAACATTAGCATAGGGGGAGCCTAGGTGGCAACATTTTTTTTAATATATAAAATACATATTCTGGAAAATGTTGACTTATCTTTACTCAACACAAATTTGTTTTCTAGATAGTCACAATGACTTGATCTTCCTAACTAATTTTCAAAGGTTCAGGTGAAATAGAAGGCCCACTAGAGGTAAATTTTCTTTTATAGTCTAGTAAGTTTTAGCTGTCCATCCAATGAAGTAATTGAATGGAAGATTAGAGATAAATATAAATATCATCATTGATTATGTGTCAGAGGCCAACTCTACTCACTGTTAAATTTTGTAGCAACCCAAGAAAAAAACATCAAGTCTTCCACTCAAAAGACAAATTGATGGAACCCAAAGAGAGATGGATTGTTTGAGGTAGATGTACTCATAGTCCAAGTAGAATAATTATCGTAAAACTGCCATATGTTTATATGGTTGGGATTTTGTTGATGTCCCTTTGTTCTTGCTCTTTTAAAAATTACTTATTGATATGAGTTTAATGTAATTTCCCCTATTATTCTCAGTGGCAGCATCGGTTGATTAATTTCTTTGATTTTTCTTCTAAGAAAGAAAGAATGAGAAAATGATAGAAGAGGCGGGGGAAGAGGAAGAATGGTTGTGCCAAAGAGAAGAAAGAGCGAAACAAAGCAAGAACGATGAGAGACGAAGAAGGTGAAGAGATTTAAGTGCAAACGAGGATGAAGGAAGGGTAGCATCAAAACATAGCAACTTTTTGCGGGAAAAGTTGATAATTAGTCTGAGTGGTTGCACGTTGCATGAGGCATGCTGGACCTAACAATCAAACTTTCATGATTTCTTTCATATTTTGCTGCTAAAGATCTAAAAAAAATAACATCACAAATATTATAACTTTTATATGGTAATCACTTACGTACCATGAATTTATATCGATCACTTTAACATCGTAACTTTTTAAAAATATTCATCTCAAATACCATGCCATAGCAGATTTTTAGTAATTGAGATGAAAGTCTTAAAAAATTTATATTCAAGTCTATATTTTTTAGATGGAGAGGCCAGCCAATAGACATAAAAAGTAGATGATTTTTCAGCAAAGACCAAAACCACGAGGAAAACGGAGAAGATGGGTACAGACTATGGAGCTCGCTAACCTAAGCTTAGCTAGGCCTCGACAAAACACCGGTCAATTCCTTGGGCATAGAAATGGATGGTTTTCTGCATTATTGTTCCTTCATTGGACCAATCACCGTCACCAATGTCCACATCTCCATCCTTTCCTCCGCCGCTAATGGTAAGATATTGATGAGTTATCCATCCTTTCATCCTTTGCCACCTTAAATGGTCCTTTCATCCTTTTCCACATTTAATGTCCTAGTCCTTAACCATCCTTTCATCCTTTCCTCCTACGTTAATGGACAAACACCGATTAGGTACTAGTCCAAAATCCGCTCTTTGTGTGGATCAATGAAATCATGTTTAAAATATACAACAACATTATAAGCAAGCAAATTGTTAAATTAGAATGTCATCTACAATTTTTACATTAGATGTAACTTCATATAGAATTGTTAGACCTCAACTTCTAATTAAATTAAACTTTCGCCATTCTTTATTAACATTTTAAACCAGTTTACTTTCTTGAATACCGCTACTCTTACGGGACAAAATTTATATACAAAACGATTCCGAGTCACCACCAACATTGTTTTGTGGTCTCTCATTTCGATTGGAGTTTTTCCCTTTTCTTTCAAATGCTTGGTTCGGTTTAGAGTCTTCTTTTTTTAACATTATATTTTTCAAATGTTGGGGTTATCACAAATCGATTTTTAAAATTTTTCAAAAACATACGATTATTGACGAGTAAAGTTATGTGGGTTTTCATAATTTGTAAACCTAATTTTTGTTTCACTTCTACCTTTTTCCGAAGGACGGAGCATCGAAAAACAGCAACATTTTGCTGGAAAAGTTTATAATAAACGGCTGAGTTTTAATACTAGCTATCCAGCTATTTAAAAATTTGAGAATGACTCACAAACCCCAAGGAAGAAAGAGGAGATGGGTATGGATGGAGCTACACTTGGGGAATTGAATGGCGAGCAGACTGCGCCACGTCGTCACTGGCCTAAAATTAAAATACAAGAAGACAACGGTCACCTTCATCAAGATAAGAACAATGACTTTTAAACAATCTATTTTTCTGTATTTGACTGTTCCTTGATCAGCCGCCATCGCTAATGTCCAAGTCTCCACGTCCTTTATTCCACCGCTCATGGACAACCACTGTCTAAAATATCTGAGAGATTGCTTTGATTGAGGGTAGTCGTGGGAGAGGGATGGGGAGAGAAAGAGAGAGCAATGGAGGATAGCTGTGGGAGCAGAGATATCGCCTTTTGCGCGACAAGTCCCTCTTCTAGAAATGGATGGTTTTTCTGCATTATTATTGTTCATTTACTTGACCTGTCACCATCACCAATGTCTACATCCAGATCCTTTCGTCCATTGCTACTCGACAAACATTTAGGCATCTTCATGAATGTATGACAATTGACCGGGTGCTTTCCCACTTCACCCCTCCCGAGGCAATGATCAATTAAGTAAAAAAGTCGCCAATTATTGACTCTCTTGATGAGGCCCAAATAAACAAGCTTCCCTTCACTTCAATTAACCCTTAGTTGCGTGGGGAGTTGTGATGTCCCATTAAGAGTTTAAGAAATGGGCAATCTCGATGATTTGCCATAGTAGAGATTATATTTTGAATAGCGGTTTTTGATAATGTTCTCTTTATCGAAACATTTGATTTGGGTTAACTTAGACCCTTATGTCTAACTAATATTAACCATTAATTG